TCTTTTAATCTCAATTGTAATATTGGCTCGCCGACAATAACAAATCCTGAATAGTAAGGACGCAAACCCAGCAATGACCACAGAACATCCGGTGGAGGGGGGTATTTTGGGGCAATGACGTTAGAGAGTCGGAAGCAGCTAATAGATGGCGACAGTGTCAGTAAAAACCTTGTTATCATTTTGTGCAAGTGAGTGAGCTATCTATACTTGTCTTCATCTATGCACAGAACCACAAGGGGGGTATTTTGGGGCAAAGACGTTATAGAGAGTCGGAAGCAGCTAATAGATGGCGACAGTATCAGTAAAAAACCATGTTATCATTTTGTGTAAGTGAGTGGGCAATCTATAGTTGTCTTCATCTATGGGGTAGTTTAAGGGTTGGGGGTGACGAAAAATGCCGGTCGATCGTCAGTCAGATGTTGGCAAGGGTTGGCATTAAAATACCCGCAGTTTACATTATGCAGTTTAGGCATATTTTCGTTGTTTTTTGTTTACTGCAGATTGACTGAATTTTGAGCAAAAGTTGGGGTTTTTGCACACTAGAGAATCGTTCGCTAGCGTAGGTGTAGGTACACGTGGGGGACTAGTTTAATTGCTAAAAACTGGCAATTAGTAAAGATGTTACACGGTCTCAATGTGCTGATCAACGCCACAGCGGCATCATGGAACTATCTGAGAAATAAAGTGGAATCAGCAAGTGGTAAGTGCAGCTAATGAATGTATTCAGTAGATGCGTCATCACACATTAACTTGATTGTGTGTTGATTATTTTAAGTAACGCATCCAATCAAGTAGCCTCAACGAGCGAGTTGCTCACAATTCTCCAGGCTTTAGCTCTGAAATAGTTTGGCACAAAATCGGCTAAAAACTGAAACAAACCAAAGCGAAATCGCATTTTCCATTGGGCAATCTGAGGAACGTTTAAAAGCCCGCGTAAGTACGAAACACCCTGTATGTTGAACTGTTTTCAGTTGATTACTGCAGTGCATTGACAATAAATACTTAAATAACGTGCGTGTCAATATAAGGCTTTATGGCATGATTAACCGTTCAGCGAAGCCATAATGGTTCTTAATTGAAACCGGTGGTTCCATATAAGGTTCTCCAGTTTTCTGCAAAAGGGCCACTGTGGGACTCTCTTCATGGCCTCCGTGGCGCAATTGGCTAGCGCGTTCGGCTGTTAACCGAAAGGTTGGTGGTTCGAGCCCACCCGGGGGCGAAATCTTTTGCTGTTTTTGAAAAAAAAACGTCGAAAACTTTCGAATTTCTAAATGTGGAGAAATTGTTTACTCATTTGAAATTTTTTAATTTTCGAAAAAATTACCTGATGGTAACGTATCATATGAAAATTGTATATGAAAATAATATTATTATATGGAAAAAAATTGCCTGAAGATGGTGCAAAATTGAAACTTTTTTCCCACTATTACACTTCTGATCCTTGACATAACAAAACTTGAGACGAAAAAAGGGAGTCTAACAGATTAGAGTGTGAAAATCATCAAATTTTTTGCACAAAACTAAGCAGACGCATTTGAAATTTCAAAAAATTTGAAAATTCGCCCAAAATTCCCTGATGATGGTAACGCATCGAAACCTTCTGCACATCAGTAGCCAATCATTGTGCATCAAACGGAGCAACTGAAAATTTGGACAAGAAATAACGAGTTGGTAAAACACGGGACTTTTTCAAAAACTCGTTTCGTAATTTTTTTAAATTCGAGAATTGACCAAAAACTGTCTGAAGATGGCGTCAAATCGAAACTTTCGGCACACTTTTAGTTAGTTCTGATCCTTGAGATACTGGAACCTAAAAAAGTTCAACAGGTTTAATTGAGAAGCGTCAAATTTTAAAGACAAATCTCTAAGAACTGACTATAAATTTTGAAAAATTTGCGAAAATCCCCTTGATGATGTCGGCCAATCGAAACTTTCAGCACATCAGCAACCAACCATTTTACATCCAACCCACAGGAAGATTCAACGAGTTTGCAAATATTTGCTTGATAACTTTTATGAATCCGAAAATTGCCTGAAGATGGTGCAAAATCGAAACTTTTTTTCCACTATTACACTTCTTATCCTTGACATAACAAAAACTTGAGACGAAAAAAGAGAGTCTAACAGATTAGAGTGTGAAAATCATCAATTTTTTTGCACAAAACTGAGCAGACGCATTTAAGATTTCGAAAAATTTGAAAATTCGCCCAAAAATTCCCTGATGATGGAAACGCATCGAAACTTTCTGTACTTAGTAGCCAATCATTCTGAAATTGTATTATATGAAAATAATATTATTATATAGAAAAAAATTGCCTGAATGTCTCACTTCTGATCCTTGAGATACTGGAACCTAAAAAAGTTCAACAGGTTTAATTGAGAAGCGCCAACTTTTAAACACAAATCTCTAAGAAAACTCATTATAAATTTTGAAAATTTGCGAAAAATCCATTGATGATGGCGACCAATCGAAACTTTCAGCACATCAGCAACCAACCATTTTACATCCAACCAAAGGAAGATTCAACGAGTTTACAAATATTTGCTTGTTAACTTTTTTGAATCCGAAAATTGCCTGAAGGTGGTGCAAGATCGAAACTTTTTTCCCACTATTACACTTCTGATCCTTGACACAACAAAAACTTGAGACGAAAAAAGAGAGTCTAACAGATTAGTGTGAAAATCATCAAATTTTTAAGCAGACGCATTTAAAATTTTGAAAAAATTGAAAATTCGCTCAAAATTCCCTGATGATGGTAACGCATCGAAACTTTCTGCACATCCGAAATGTATGTATCAAATATCACTATAAAATGAAACATCCTTTTGTAAAATAACCATCTATTCAATTGCAAGCATAGTTTTATGGAGTCGTTAGGATTTACATTATCATTAGCGCAAAAGCGCCTAATTTTTTCTGATTAAAAACACTGTGAATTACTTAGTTAATAACCCAACAAACCAAAGCAAATAAACAAAACCATATCAACTGAATCGGTGATAAAAAGCCAAGCAAACAAACCGAGCTTTAAATCAAACGTAGAATCGGAAGACTTGTTAATGTGTATTTGCGAGCGCCCATACTAGCACTGACCATGGCATTAAGATCAACAAACTCTGCGTTTATACCTGCTTAAACTTTGGAATAACAAATTCAAATTCTTCAAACACCAGCAACAGGTACGGGCGTCTTTTATTAAGCGGACAGCAGTTGCAAAGTGGTACCTACACGACCATCAAGCCCTCGAAAGCTTCTAGTGAAGTTATAGAGTAAGTAGAATTTTAAATAACTTAATAAAAAAAATGTTTTCTCTATGAGTGAACAGAGTTGCCAGTTTTACCTGATTGCTAGGCGCCAATGTTGTCGGCAAATATCGCCCAAAAGTCGCCCACGGCCCGCTAGTCAAAATCGCCTCCTAATAGAGTACTTATGTGCAGTACTGCCATACTAGGGAATTTCGTCCTACTTCTAGGGATTTCTGAGGAAAAAGGGATTTGTTAAAATTATCTACAGGCTATTAAGTAGAGAGGAACCACAAATTGTTTTAAGAAATCTCAATTATTAATTAACAATCTCCTTTAATTTTTTAATTTCCCTGAAATTATCTTTACTGCGATGCAAAAATCAATACACCTGCAGTGCTTTGCAACTGCACCATCTACACTTCGTCAAATACATATTTAAATTAAAGCTTGAATTCAAGAGAATAAATAAGAAGAAGACAAATTGAAGCAAAATTATGCGTTTAATTTTTTAAAACTTTTAAATTTCGTCATAACCGTTTCCAATAACCTTTTATGTTTCACTTTTCGTCATTTTTTATTAAACATTTCTATCTATAATTTTTTTTAAATCTCTGGAAAACTAGGGATTTTTAAGTGACCATGTGGGGATTTTAATTTTACCGATCTGGCATCGCTGCGCCTATGTGATCAACAGACCTACAGGGTGGCTTTTTAGTGCGAGAGAGTCCATTATTTCCGTTGGTGTTTCAAAAAATAGTTTCATATAAAAGTTGTTGACGCACAAAGTGCGCACATTTTAAAAATATTTTTTGCCATACAGAGTGTCTCAGAAAAGCGAGGCAAGATCAAAGTGTGTTTTTTTAAATAAACCGACCCATTTTTGGTACCATACAAGTACTTCCATTTGAAAAGCAAAGGTTATATTGCGTTAAAAAGTTTTAGATTTCAGTCCACATTGTTAACACTCTGTACAATATATTTTGATTCCACCGCACTTTATCAATGCATATTTCTGAACTTCTTACGTCGAAACGAACCGTTTGAAGTGAAATTTTGATTTTGGCCGAAATTTTTCCAAGGGTGGGGGTCGATTTTTTGAAAAAATGAAAATTTTCTCAAATTTTACGTCGTTTTCAGCTCACGGACGCGAGCAATGCATCGACTCACTAAAAAGCACGGTAGAAGTTTCAGAACTGAAATAATACAGACATTTTCCGCAGATTTTAAGCATTTTTGAGCGTTCACGATCTTTAGCGGACGATTTCTTCCTCATTTTTTATCCAAACACTTTATAAATGCATATTTCTGAACTTCTTACGTAGACAGGAACCGTTTGAGCTCAAAAAACACGATTGCAAAATTTTGATGGTTCA